TAACTAATAAGTTCTATGGAAGCTCTTCTTCAGAAAAGATAAATGTYCGCGTGCATTCCGAATTTGGAGCAGACTTTCCCTTCATTAGAGCGAGGCAAACGAGAGCATATTTTGGATGGAGCTAGAATAGTRGTAGCTAGATTACTGCAGTATTTCTCGTGTTTTTAAATTTTGCGTTTTTTTAATTAAGACATGATTGCATCGTGCTTTCATGTGCAGAATATTGAAAAATCACCAATAAAAATGGAGTACTTAATTTAATTACTCTTATCAAACGGTCCCTCCAAAACTGAACCTTTTAAAAATTTCTCGCACTCCTTTATTTTCAGGCTCACACCCATGCGGCCGCCTTCAATTGCTCGGAACCACCAAATCTGGGCCACTTTGTAAGTAGTTCGACCGCGGTGACCTGGCTTGAGCAGAAAATCCTTTGAATTCGATTGCATAACCGAACGTTTGGTGTTTTTCAGGATGTGCACAGTTGCTGCCGGATGCCAGAAGTCGACTTGGGCGAAACGCCAGCAAAATGCGCCGCCCATATAAAAACGCTCAACGCACAAGCGAGAAATATGATGAACGGCATGGGCGGCATGGGCGGCATGGGCGGCAGCAAAAACAACAGCAATAGCAATATGAATAATCCAGCAGCGGAATTTCCAGCTTACGCACACATTGTGAGTTCCTTGAGACAAACACACACGCACAAACAGACTCGACCGCGAGCCGAGTGACATTGCTCGCCCACAATGGCACTTATCTTCTTTTGAGTCAAGTGCTCATTGAGAGTGAATTTGAATTTGAAATGKTTATCTTGTTGTTGTTGCAGTGCTATCCGGATTGTATTTACCGTGAGACAGGCGCCCTGGTCGAAAACGAATTTAATATGGAGAACGTCAAAAAATTCCTCAACAAAAACGTGAACAAACGCGACAAGGATATTATACCGCAGATTGCGCGCTCCTTCCAGAGTTGCCTGGACTACAGTACGTATCGCACGCACACAAGCAAAAGCGAAAGCAAATATGCTAAAAGCACACACACACACACACACACACACATGCGCACAGACATTAAGTCAAATACAAATGAAACTGAATCAAAGCCGGAAAAGAAGAAGAAATATACTCGATCAGATGGCAAATGTCAGGACAAATTCAACGGAAGTCGATTTTAATATTTGATTTTTCACTATGACATTATTGGCGATATTTKCACTTATTTGCATAAATGCACATATACACACACATTAGCACACTCATCCAAGTCGAAGAAAGACGAGCCTTTACTGCCCACTTCTCGCTTCAAGTAACTTTTCTCATTACACACATTCCTTTGTTACCGTCACCTCGCCGTGCTCTTCATCTCTCTCTTCTTTTTCTCGTTGTTTGGTTACCTAACAGTCAAAGGTCACATGGCGGCGRTGGGCATTATGGCGTACGCCAAACTGCCGATGGGCTGCTCACCTTTAGCCAGCATGATGTACAGTTGTGTAAACGCGGAGACCTTCCTGCACTGCCCCGCCAAGATGTGGAAGAACGAGGAGCCCTGCAATGTGGTGAAGAGCTTTGCGGCCCAGTGTAATCCATTGCCGCACGTGCCACTGCCAATTGGATAAAGCATCGCAKTCGAGTGGCGGAGCCGCGTGCTGTGCGGTGAGCGGCGAGCGGCGAAAGAACTTTATGAAATTATAAATTTAGATTTACAATAACTTTTTATTACGTACGAGTTTTGCCTTTAGGCATTTTTCGGCTTTGTCTTAGCATTCGTGCCTCGGTGCTTAGACACTTGTTGCGCTCGGTGCTTAGACACTTGTTCGTTGCAATAAATTTAATGGCTAAATATACTATAAGTGAAATTATTTTGAATTTAAGGGAGACACGGGTTTCACGGCTTCAAAAAAACTGTATGCCTTGTTTAAGTTTATAATATCTCTGGAATATTGTTCGAAATGCTCAAGTTGACTCGAGTAATAGTTTTAGAGATACAGCCTTGAAAATTTACGCGCTCGAGGTCAGCTTTTTTCAGTAATTTTTAAACACGTTTTTCTCGAAAGTGTATTTTCAAATTGGTTGTCAAGACCTCTCGCGAACTACTCAACCAWTGATAAATCAGGTCTTCAGGATATAATTCACAAGCTCTTGAACGAAGATTTACATAACTGTCTAAAAACGTTTGCCAAAAATACAGTTTTCACCTTTTGTTTTGTCCTTCTTCCAATACCTTGTTTATGRTCTTAATTCAAAGAATTATTATTTTTTTATTTCATATGATCCTGTTTTTCCTCTTTTTTTCCGAGCGCCTGTTGGAAATTACRACGTAACGGTCAAGGTTTGAATACTTTCCTTTGAAGATGTCACAAAATCATTTTACAAAGATTTGTGTCTTTGGAATAATAAAAAGTATAAATATTGAGTAGTCGAAAAAGCCTTTTCATATTTSTAAACAAAMTTCAACTTATTTTTTTTATATTCATCAAGAACTTTGATCRGCCAAATATGTACCATTTTTGTCGACCACTTTTTGCCATTTTTCCGCTGGAGACATTCCATCACTATAAAACTGTCTCATCGAAAAACTGCGACAAGTAATTTTCACAGGCTTCTCTTGAAGCCAACTTCACTCCATTAAGGGAGTTCTGCAATCACCGATGATGCAAGGTCAGGGTTATATGATGGATGCATCAAAACTTCCCAGCCAAGTCATCAAAGATGTGGGTGGTACATCATTGTCCTAATGGAACACGAAGCCTTTCTGTTGATCAGTTCTTTCCGTTTTTTTCGATTGCTTGCTTCAAACTCATCAGATGTTGGCAGTAAAATGTAGCATCAATCGTTCGATCGGGCTRKTGCAGCTCATAGTGGATGATTCCTTTGCAATCCCAMMAAACACTCAGCATAGCCTTTCGAKGCGTCAATCYTGGCTTTCACCACCTTTGRWCCAWGATCTTTTTCRCCTATTATTGTTGTTGTGCTTGATCCACTTTTCTCCYGTTACYATTCGCTTCAGAWACTGGTTCGATTTCAATTCGTTTGAGTAAGGAATMGCAAATGTTAATTGGGTTCAATAAATTTTTCACAGACAATTCATGTGGTAYTCAAACATCGAGCTTCTTTTTGTAGCCAGCCTTTTCTAAATGGCTCAAAAGCGTTTGATGTTGAATGTTGAGTTCCTTAGTGGTGTCATGGGTGCTTATGTGACGGTCCTGGTCAATCTTTTCCATAATTTCATCGACTTTTTCAACGATTATTGTGCTACACGAACTGACACMMATAATATAATATTGCCACAATATACAACGGAATGTTATAAACTGGTCAAGAAAAGTATAAACTGACAAAAGTCCTAAAAATTTATTGTTTAATTAAGCTAAGAGCCTCATAGAATTGAAATCGGAAAGTTGCTCTCCAAGCTAGGTAAATCAAATTTAGGCACATTTTATGAGCAGATCTACTGAAAGAACAAATGTAATGGGAGTTCCACCGAACCATAACATTATAAACATATAAAACCGTTGAAATTTTTTAATGTTAAACCGTTTAAATTTTTTGGAGCTTTATATGTTTGGTAATTTCGTTATGAACACGACGATGCTATCATTACCGTTTTAATGGAGCGTAGCTAATCACGCCTAAACGGACACTATTGCACATACCTATGTTTCTGGATTGTATGGAAAATATTATGGAAGGCATTTACATATTAGTCGCGATTATATTATAACCTCACGGATTTGTGTGAATTATGGTGACAGCAGTATCAATGAATTTAAAAAATATTCTGATGATTTGGTTAATGATTGCAGCAACCGAAGCCAGATTTGARGACTTCGTAGTTAAAGATCGGGTGTGTAACGGTCCCCGTACACATAATAATATCACTCTTAATATAATCTTTAACTTGTCTTAAATGTGTATTACTTTCCGACTTCTAGAATGATTTGACCCGGTTGGGCTATGACGATGACATCGCCGATGAGGATTATGAGCTTGATGAAGCTTTGTTTTCTAATATAGAATTTTTGCAGCAATTATCCGAAATCGATCCAAACATTATGGATATGTTAAGTGGCGCTTCATTGGAGGATATGCCACCGGGTTTGCTCCGGAAACTACAACAATATTACACAATGATGGRCTCATCCATGTGCATGGACGACGATGATATGTGGCAGACTGGAGAATTTCGGAACTCCTACGATATAAATGGCTTCGTTGATACACTACAACTTGAATAAACTTACACACATTTTAAGGTGCGAATATCACTMTTCCAATACATACATGTTTCATAAGCTACTTACGCCCAAAAAGCAGTTTGATTTCATCAATCCACCACCCAAAAATCTAACTGAATATTTCCTAAAGTGAGCTAAGCAATAAATTCGTTTGGAGGAAGTACCAATATCTATAACAAATGGGTTTGAACATGGTTTATAACAGTGTTTAAGAGATCAATAGAGAGTTCATTAAATCGCSTCGCTATAATTGAAAAGAACTTTGGCCGATACTACCTTCATAAAAGAACTAAAACAAAAGAAAAATWAAATRAAAGAACRAACTAAGTGAAAACRCCCWTATTGTTAAAAGGAGTTTCAAGTTGGCATAAGGAACTGGTAAATGTTGAGATTGAGAGCTCACTTTAATTTTTTTTTTTTTTAAACGGTCTTTGACTAATCGTTGAGTGTATTTCTCCATAACAAAGTTTCTCATAAAAAATAAAAAACACTATCTTCTATCCCAATATTAGACTACAAACTTATAGACCCATAAAGTTCTAATTAGATTCGGTCAGCGTTTTCTGTCGCTCGAATAACAACAGAAGATCAAAAACAGTGTATGGWTTTGAAATCTAAAGCTTTAAGTACAAGACTTTGATGTTCAACAACATAAACTAACTCGAACTGCATTGTTTAGCCTTTGTAAATATGTATAGTAMTTTAATATGTTCTTCTCTTATCAGTTAGCGGCTAAGGAAGATGCGATTACCTCCCATCAGCGATTGACAGTTGATTATATATTCYCGGGTTATCTCACATTCATTCGAAGATGTCCATAACCTAGGCGGACAGTTAAGTTTCAGTTCGTGTCCAGCACAAGTCATGTAGCCAATGATAATAATTTTTCTGGTCACCACACTAGGTTGAGGGGCCGATATTGTAGGTCTTCTTTAGCTAGACGGGCCTTCACAACCGACTGACATTTTTCAAAACTGACAAGCACCGCGTTGGCTAACTCGGGATCGTTGGGGTAAAGCTTTTTAACCATTTTACGAGTGTTATCCATCTTTAGCTGCTCTCCGTTTAGAATGTCGGCCGCTTTGAACAAGCAATCCACTTTTTCCTACGCAATAAAATCGACATTAGAATTAGGAAATATTAGAATGTTACAAAATTATGATGTGCTACCAGATTTGATGTTCGAAAACGATCTGCTATATTGGGACACTCACGAGTATAGGCGCTCAAGTTCGGTTTCGGCCTCCTGCAGCACTGATTCAAGTTTTTCTGGAAATTACAATAAATTTCGTACAACAATGACATTGAAACCAAGTTTAGGACTTACGGCAAAACCTGTTGGAGGTCTACTGCAGTCACTGGCGGCATYGACCGATCCCAACTGCAWWGCCAGCAGCGCTATGGCGATTATGTGGTAATTCATTTCAGCTCTAGAGTCTGACTAACCGTTCTTTGGGTATATTCCAAGTTWTATAATTTAGGAGATTTTGTTTAAAGTAGGTGATTTTTTGTTATTGGAGTATTTTTCCATTCCAAATGTTTGTCATTAATTAATTTTATTGTCATTAATTTATTTTGATGTCAAATCATTAAAATAAAGATTTCACTTTTCAGATCAGAAATTTAAAAAACTAAACCATACTTATTATATGAGCGTATAAATTACTAATAGTTACTAACCCACTAGATTATGTAGAGAAAATGATTGCGGATATTCTCAGTCCACTGGGACCAAAGCWCTCATCTCTGAAATTTATGAGAATTACAACTAACGAAGCCCAAAAATATTCGGATTTATATCAGGATAAGCACAAACCGTCAATAATTTATCTTATTCATAATAATTCACTTAAAACCATTTTTACGCAGTTTGTTTTCCTTTTTTATTTCATTCTCATTCATTTACTGTTCATTAATTCGTCGATAATATCSCCAAGCGGCGCAGAGATTAAATCCAAAGGGTTTTCTTGGCAATCCGCTGCATACTCTTCACAAAATCCAAACGAGCCATCTACTTCGGCTTGATAGTAGGGAAGTGGAAGATTTTCATGCGCCGATGTGCTGGGACTGAAAGTTACAGAAAACTCAATAATTACTATGTTGTCATGGATGCAGTAGTCCTTTTAGAAATGAGAAATGACTTACGAAAACATTATATGAACCAATGTGCCGAGAACTCCGTTCACCTCACCCAGACCTGAAGAATTCGTTTCGCAAATCAAACGCAGCAAGCAGGGCTTAGCATTGTAGCCGCTTCTAAAAGGGAAGAAATACATACATAAATACACATACATACATTATATGCATAAACAGATGGTTTCCTATACTAAGCAAACCAAAATAGAACCCGATAATGATATTTTCATATAAAAAACTTGAGTCACACGACACGAAGATTTAGCCGACCTGCGGTGATTAGAACCTTTTTGTTCGCTTGGTTGCACCAAATGGACATACCACTGTACCGGACGAGCGAGAGCGCTATCAAAGGCATCAGCCGGCTGCGCGTGTGCGACTAATTAGAGTTTTTCCTTTCTTAGACAAACTTCTACTTTGCCACGCAATTGCGTCGAAGAAAGTAGTTTCACACTCGTTTCATAATTGATTATTAAAAAAGCAATAAAAGTGATTGAGAATCGAGAGAGAACATTGAAACAAATACACACGCACACACATGCACCACAGCTCCATATTCTTCGGCGCAAATTATTTCACGAAAATACTGTGAAACGTGAAAATATCAAGATTCAAATGMTCCATAATCGGACGGACAAGAAATGAGTTTCACTAGCATTACTCTAATTGGCTTTCAAATTCCATGAAATACAAACCTTTTGAATTTATCCATGAGTATGTGGTAGAAGTGGGTGCGCGTTAGCAATGAATTTGGCACACCCTCCGTCCGTCGCCGTGTTCTTGTTGCCGATTCTTTAGCATCACTTGTTGAATTCACTGTAGGCGCTGCTGTTGTTGTTGTTGTATCTGTAGTAACATTCTGAACCGTACAGTTAGTACAACTTTCCGTCTGATTCAAATGTTGAAAGTGCCTAGCTTGAGGCAAGACATCTTCATCTTCGATACCATTCTGAAAGCAAATGTATTGCAAATACCAGTACCGTTACATTTGAATTATTAAATGTGGTATACTTATGTATACCCCAATGTGAATGCAGTGACCGAGAGAGAGCGGAGATCGGGAACAATTCCTTCCGAGCCCGCCCAAGCCGATCAGAGCTCTGTAACAAATTTTTGCTAATCTTTTCATCCAACAATTGATGGATCACGGTCCCACAACCCATCTCCTCCCGGGCACTGGTTTTCTCCACCGGTCCTGTGTGAATTCACATGCATACATAGATATGTATGTATATTTTTTTACTAACCGCTATTGGTGGCAGATTCCACGTGTATGGCAAGTTGTAGTTCGCTTCAAAATTGTAAGAGATGAAGACATTGCGATGCGGCAGCTCCAACGGCACCGCGATGGCGGCAAAAATCTGAAAGCAGACTTAAATTTCTTTCAACTGCTTTTGAATACTTTGCGCACTTACACCATATGCGGAATTKGTCGGAAAAAACACGGCACCACAACACAGGTTACAACACCAAAGAAAGCTCAGAAGCCGCAAACAAAAGCCAGCATTTCGTGGTACGGCCATTGCACAGAACTCACGGTAATTATTTTATAAATTACTTTAACCGATTTTTATTAAACGCTAATCAGCTCACGTCTTTCCGAAGAAGGTTTTAAACAATGACTAAAAGTATTAACTTCTTGGCSAAGCTACTTGTTTAAGGTAAGCGGCCCATGAATGAGAATAAGTTCGACCATTTCGTTACTAGAGAGCGGCATACCATTAGCCACAAAAAGTAGTAAGTGATCGCTAATCATTTATGTCAACAAAACGGAAGAAAACGACAGCGTTAATGCGGCATATTGATAATATAAGCTTTTTGTAATTCTAAGTTGAAGATACCAATACCCCCAAATCTTTAGCTTTCTCTTTTAAAGAAAAGTCAACATTTTTTGCTTAAAAATATTTTGTTATTCTAAAGATTGTTGCTTGTTGAGCCGCTATTTAGGAAAACAAAACTTTTTGCTCTTTCTGAATCTAATAATAAATTCAAATATAAATAACTGTAAATCAACAGATGATCGGCGACTTGTAATTTGATTGAATATATACAGTAGAACAAAAACAAAAAAAACACACAGAGTTTGTATATCAGTTTCAATTTCAAAAATTTCCAAATGAAGTGAGTGCGTTTGAGTTCCTCTTTGACGTAATGTTTCAATTTCAGTTTTGCCTTTCTTGAATAATTATAACCGGCACAGCGTAAGCACGAAGAGTTATTACCTATTTTGGCGCTTCTTTCGCTCTTGCCAAGTTGCAAATTTCGTGTTTGCCGACTGCAGTAGTCGATTCAAATGCTGAGTGAGGGAAGCACCCAATGGAGAGAGCTCATGCAATGCACGACTCTGAAAAAAAAAATAACTGTAAACAAAATTTTTGTAGTTAAGCTTTTATTATTGCAAATACCTCGAACGGCACCAATTTAGCCATCTTAAAGCGTTGAAGCGCATCATGCATGCGTACAGCTCTTTCTTCGGCTTCTGGGGTGGTTGGTGGGAAGCAGTTCCAGAAATGTTTTAACAATTCTGACAGTGACAAATATAAATTACGTAAATCCTTCTCGAAATCCGGAGGCACCAACTCTAAAGTAAATAAAAATTAAGAGGTGCCTCATAATATGCGCTTAGCACACACTTACGACCAACTGATTGCTCATGAAAGCCACGCATCAGCGCACCACCCGGACTCAGCTCGCCCAGTGCATTCACCGCTGCCGTGGGACTAACCAAAACTTTGGCCGGCGTACGTTGGTTCCAGGTTTCTGTGGCACGCATTAAATGATATTGAATTTCTTCCATACGACGGGGATCTTCATGCATATCATAGCCGGTTATTGGCATGGGACCGTGTAAATACCGCTCTTCTTTGGCTAGTGACAATTGTTGCGATTTCTTTAATTTTTTACTGCTATCAGTTGCATCGGCAGCTTCTATTATGGGTTCACCAAGATCCTCATAATGAATTTTTTCTATAATTCGTTGACGTTTCGCCGGCTTCTCGGGGCTTCCAAGTTCGCCGTTGGCAGTAGAGTTGCTTGCTAAATTAGTWTCGGTATCACTTATTTTGCCCTCCTTTGATGATTTGGATTTTTCAACTCCTCCATTAGCAGTAGCGTTTTCTGTGCTTTTCGAGTCTTTTGTTTTAGTTGCCGGTCCATTGGCTGTGGAAGTAGAACTACCAGACACATCGGCACAAGTCTTCAGCACCATTATTGAATGTTGGTTAAACCTTTTTATCATATTTTGATGGACAATATTACCACTATTTGATATGTTACGATCGCCGGCTACACTGCAAAAACCTTCTTCCAATGGTACATCTTCAAACTGCTTCAAATCCAGCAAAGGATCGCCAGCTCCTTGTTGGACTGCAGCTTTTAAAGTTTGATCATCAATTTTTCCACATTCTGTAAAAATATCTTTGGAACCAGCTGTAATACGATCACGATGAAAGTAATGTGATTGGAAAAATTTGGTCCAAAATTCTGCTTCTGTCATTTTAGAAGGAACATTTTCTTGATGCTTTCTTTTCACGGCGGGATACGTCTTAAATATACACAGAATTATGTCGGGGGTTAAATTGTATTTCAGCCCGTTGCAACCATCAGTTTGTGGCTTTATGTCAGCAAGAAAGGCGCCGGAAACACCTGTATATGTGGAAGTCGAAATAAGTATGATCACAAAATTTTTTACATTACGTTAACTTACCAATGTCTTGTTTTTTATTATTTTTCTTCATCGCATGCTCCTTGGCATGGGTAGCCCAAAACTCTTCACTGGTAAGTACTTGTGTTATAACTAAATCCTTATAGAGTTGCAACAAATTAGGATTTTCCGAAAGTATACGGTTTTTCTCTTCTAATTCCTTATCTACTTTTCGCTTGAAGTTTGGAAGTAGTTGTTGCAGCAACTCCTTCACTTTATCACGGTCTTCAAGCACCGCTTGCAGCCCATTTCGATTTACAAAATGGAATGTGGAACTGTTACCATCATGCAATACAACTTGAAGTTGCACTTTTGGTTTTCCTTCAGGCGATATTTTCTGCACTATTGGAGAAACGTAAATGTAATTACACTTTCATTTACTGTGTAAATTATGCATTTACTTTTAATGTCGGCAAAACGATGTGACACCGCAACTGTATCACGATTTTCTGCCATCCATGCCAGACGTTCATTCATTACATAGAGCGTGCCATCACCTTTTTTATAACGCACTTCGCCCATTTGCAGCAGCACATCTTCGCTGCTCGTCGTCATCTTAACCGCAAAAGAGATATGTTTCCTACAAACGTTGTAATTCCAGCGCCACAGCAAAAATAGGCGAATAGTAGATAGTTGGAATATATTGGCTGTTAAAAATGGAGGTGGTGAAATATTTTATTGAAATCTAAAATCATTTCATTATTCTCAATCGCAAGCCCAGTGATATCACTTTTTATAGCTAGTTTTACTCTTATTGTTTGTATTGTTTTCAGCTTGGATGGATTTTCAATAACAATTTACCTTTCAATTGTTTACCAAGAGATATTTTATAAAATTCTGATATAATTTTAAAATATATTTTTTTTCACCCACCGTTTTAGTTGCGCTCTGTCGCCATTTGCAAAACTCCGCAGCACATACAAATGTCATATTACTGTTTGCTCCCTGTCAAACTGCCCAACAACAACTGCGGAACAAAATGCCAGTGTTCACAGCAAACTCTATTGTGTAGCCTTCAGAAGTACACTTTTTACAAAAGGTAGGTGTAGATTATTTGCCTGAATAAAGTTATACTGCAAACTACTGCCAGAAGATGTGTCAAATAATCGAACGTTATCGAACATTACTTCATAACTTAACACATTTTGTTTTGTAATTTACATTGTTGGAATCTTTTAAAATTAAGTGTAATATTTTGAAAGGTATACACTTCTTTGCAACCCTATGAGGTGTTACCAAATGTAATAATACATTAAGGTATGTTTTATACTTGAGGTGTCTTTCCTCGAATGTGATATGTTTCTGCGATAATAATCTGGAGACGGATAAAAATTCGTATAACAATGAAAGATAAACAAATGACATTAAGAAATGCAGAATCTAATTTCGATAAAAAATAAAATAGAAGATTGTTCCGGCCGGATATGAAATAGTTTTGTTTTTATTTTATCATTTTTGTTTATTATTTTAGAGTACTTAGTTGAAAAAATAATTTATTATTTATTTACTTATTTATTTATTTATTATCTTACAGTTATTATACAAACTAATAAATATAATTCYTTCACTTAGTAAGAAGTGAGAACACAATGTACACTTTCGCTRTGAAGAGCAACTGCAAATCACAATTTACTGCTGTAACCATAGCATCGCTATCAGTTGCGTCTACCTTCGGTGTTGTGTCGCTCCACATTGCGTCCCTTCTCTAAAAGCTCTCGATATGTTTTGACTTCATGTCGCGGTATTTGCTGTTTATATTTTGTATCTAGCAGACCATAAATAAAATCTAGCTCAGTCTCCACATCGTGTCGCCCCTCCGGCAGCTTCGCTATCAGAGCGCGCTTCTGACAAACAAAGGTGTCAATGGGGGTGTGATCGGACTGTTTTGATTCGAAAATCTCCACGTATATTTGATAAGGTGGTTTCGTCGGTGAAAAGTGGTCGCGGAGCAGTTGAAGAGCATCTTGCCACGACTTCGCATCGCGTCGTACGCCCTTCCACCATGCGGAAGCAATACCTTGAAAGAGGAGCGGCAAACCTTTTAGCGCGTCTTGATCGCTAATGCCCTCCATGTCCTTGTAGGTTTCAATGGCGTTGACGAACTCCTCGACGGCATCGTTGTCACGCTGACCATGGAAGCGTACATTACAATTGCCAAAACTGCTTTTCGCCTTGTTGGCTTGTTGCTGCTGCTGCTGTTCGGTGTGTTGTGGACCCAGCGCTCGTATAGTTTCGAGTAATCGTTGAAATTGCTCATCGGACATGCGACCAGTCGACATTTTTGCGTAGCTTTTGGCTTTTAATCAAGCGCTTTGTGTTTTTATAATGGCGAGCGCGATGTGGCGGCACAAGCGCKACCACGAACCGATGACAACCGCAGCCGCAGCCAAGAGAAGACTGTTTCATTTTGCCGACATAAACATTCGCTTTTCGGTGATGGTTCTCTTAGCCAACTGACTGGGAGCGAAAAGCTCCAGTAATACATGGGGTCATCTGTTGCGAAATAACTTGTTTACAGTATTGAAAATATGTATGTAGGTCCTACGTTGTATTCGCTCATTAGTCATCGGCAATTCGCATAGAGTTTGGCTCTCCCCAATAGTATAGTACATAAAAAATTTGTTACATTTGTACGTTTGCCTCAAACACTGTGGTGCGGAACTTGTAAGCATCATACAAAAATCCATGAGGTTCCAATAAAATATACAACTTTTACTTATCTTGGGAGATTTGGGGCAGAACTAATATTCGGTGCAAACCTTGCCTATTAGTAACACCTTAGAAATAACACCTTTGTTTCGACACACCTGGAGTGACTGTGTGACAGGTGTGTGAATTTCAAGGACTGATTGACACACTGTGCTCCTCTCTGCAGATACGTACATATATAATGGTATGTTTTGTTTATTGTGGAAATCCAAGAGAAACAGGAGAGCAAAGTTTATAAAMATTTTTKTTTTTTTTCTKCTTTTGACTATCGGTAAACCCAGTTTTGTATTTGTTTACTGTATGTACATTTCTTGCCTCACTTGAATCTATCTAATCAATATTGAGGGACTATAATTAAAGATAATAATAAAAAAATAAAATTCATATTATAATCTAAGAGTTAGATAAGTAGCACTTGCCAACAGGTGTATTGTTGTTAACAATTTTTGGGCACTGAAAACAGTTAAATGCAGTTGACRTATGTATGTACATATGTACTGTACATTGGCTAAGAAATCGTACGTGGAATCATTAGTCACTCGCTTTTTGTATGTATTTTACCGAAAAWATGATGATCATATCTTTAAATTCGATTCCATCCCAATGCTGACTTAAACAGTTCGAACTTTCAGACCAAATCTGTAAAGCAAATGACGAAATATGCATTGGTTCTACTCTTTGGGGAAAGGAATAATTGGACTTAGAGTTTCTATGGGTTTCTCATGTATTTTCAGAGGTCAACGGTCTATTGATGGTAAAAAATCTACAGCTCTTCTRAGCGAAATTGCATTGATATTTGGGAAAGATTCCAAAGGTTTCCAGATATCAACTGTTCACTCGATATAATATCACTTCTGAAATATGCATACATATACGAAATATAGRAAAACTTCTGAAATGCGGTACCTAWTAATATTTACAGAAATTCTAAAGAACGTACATATACTCATTTTACCCCAATCTATACACTTGAATGGGGATCATATACTCTAAATACCGCCCAACGGGGCCCTGGAATTCAGCTAGTGCTGGTCTTTCGAGAGTTAGTTAGTGAAGTTAGTAGGTAGGTGTACATATATTCCAAGCATTGTGAAATTCATATCTGTTACCAAATTAATTAATTTTGGCAAGATAAGATAATGAAAAGATGGTATGTATGTATGTACTCATAACTTGCCATAAAATCACAAAATCACAAAATCATAAATATTTACACTTGTTTAAAAAATTGTTGTTGGATTATGTACAAAAATGAGTTTACGCATACAATTCTCAATTATTTTAGGTTCGTTTAAATTTATGAGACTATATGATCAAGCAGTAATCAATATAACGGGATATATCTTTGCACAAATAATGCTGCTAGGGTATGCTTCCTTGCGACGAAAAATTTTCCAAATCCAAAAAAAAAAAAAAAATGTTCTAGCCCTCATGTACCGAATATTTGGACCCAAGTGCCTATGGTCTACCGAAAATATTGGTCAATGTTAGAAACATATGTATGTACCTATGTATAATTGAAATTCAGAGAGGATCCTTTCCTCAAAACAGTATGTCTGTGTGCTACAAATGGGCTGAATCGGATCAATACTTCCCTTAGCCGCAGTGTGCCTAATATAAAGGTTTTCGAAGTTCCGTTTGACTTTTTATCACTTACATACATATGTATGTATATCGGCCGATTCGTGAGTCATTTTAATACAATTGAGAGAACGTATTTTTCTTATAACGGTGAATATACTTAGAATGAATAAAATCGAATGACAACTCACCTTAAAGCCCAGACCTTTTGAACCTGAAGGTACTGCCCTGGTTGTAATCCTTTCAAGTCGCTAGAGTAAAAAATCGCCTTCAAAATTTGCAATATTAATTGAAATAAATTCTTTTCAATATTAAAATTATATTTTCTATTTGAAAATACTGACACACACATACATATGTCTACGCATACATACCATGCGATTCCTTCCGAACTAAGAGTAAGCAATGAGCTATTTCATAACTTGTAGAAATTGAAGCAAGCATTACGAATTTCCGATGAAAACAAGACAGAGAGCTTTTATTGTACATTTCCAATTACATACATACCTACATTCTATGATTTCATGCTTTTCTCTCCCAAACTATAAAAGCCGCTCCGCTTGGTAGACGAATTCAGTCTCTTACGACCAGCAAGTGAATTACTATAGTAGCAGGAAGACATTCGCTAACAGCAATTGGCTTTGTTCGCTGCTATTAACAACAAAACATTAAACAACAACAAGTAAGATTTGTGCGTGAGTCATTTTAACTTCTMGTCTACGAAGTCCACATTTTTCCAAACAACAAAATGTCACAACCCGTCGTGCAAATGACAGCCGAACAGCTGCAGTCACTGATCGAATCGGTGCGTTTGGCAGCCGTTGCAGGGGCCAGCGCTGCTGCACCCGCCACTCTCCACAGCAAAGGCAGTTTCACCAACTGTACTAGCCGTTTTGGTGGCCAGCGCGATCACGAAGCCGTTGAGGAGTTCATAACTTCCATTGTGACCTACAAAGAAATCGAATCAATCAGCGACGAGGATGCACTAAAGGGGCTGTCTTTATTGTTCTTCGGATTGGCGTCCACTTGGTGGCAGGGCGTGCGTAAAGAAGCGAAAACTTGGGGAGAHGCCATWGCGTTGATTCGCGATCACTTCTCACCCACCAAACCCGCCTACCAGATTTACCTCGAAATCTTCGAGAATCAGCAACGCGACAATGTGCCCATCGACACATTTGTTTGCCAGAAGCGTGCGCTACTCGCACAACTGCCAGAGGGACGTCACGATGAGGAGACCGAATTGGATTTGGTTTATGGTTTGCTGAACATCAAGTACCGTAAGAATATACTGCGTCAGGACCTTAAAACATTCCGTGAATTGTTGGAGAAAGGTCGTATAATCGAACACAATAACTTGGAGGTTGAAGCAGAGCAAAACGGGCCAATGCGTGGTTCGAAGCGCACCAAGCGTTGTACCCATTGCAACTTCCGTGGTCACACGTACGAGGAATGTCGCAAACGGAAATCTGCGAACGAAGGCAACGAATAAGTAAAATAACACATTCCACTTCATCAGCTCCAATAATTACTCAGACATTCACGCATACAACAAATCCAATGACGACAACCAGCGCACAATACCAAACAACCACAATGAAACAAATAATGGATAATGATGTCACCAGCCGGTGAAGTCTCAGTCCGAGCAGCTTGCGTCGCAACCAAATCACTGAAGCAAAACTTTCGCTCTCATCAAAGCTGAAGCTATGCAGCAGCGTCGAACTTTGGTCAATTTGGTATACAGCGGCAACAGCAGCAACAATACTACTAAGTTTTAGTATAAGTATAAGCATACATACATACACACATATAGTTATTGCGAACTGAGTTGCTCACACACACGCTTCTCTTCGATTCTAGTGGACGTTTTACATTGGAGGGCAAAGTTTTTGTCCAAAGATTGTTAATACTTCCAAAAGAGGAGAAGAAGGCAGTGGCTTCTCAGATTCGTCAAAATCATTCCGCCGCACGCTGTGTCTAACACGGCTCCTCATGGCTACGAACGCCATTAAATCACAAGTAGTGAAAYCAAGAATTTTGAATCAAAGTCGGTTCTTCGGAACCAAAAACCGAGTCACGCATCTGATCAGCTATGCTTCAATAATATTGGGAGCAGTTTGCCTCGCTTGGAAATTCAGGCAATGCTCGAGTTTCCTTCTTCAATCGAAATTTGCATTGGCCTATTCCCTTGTTTTGTTCGAGTGGAAATTCGTGTGCATGCTGTAACGACTGTGATCTCCTCGGAATCCCAGCTGTTCAACATGCATTAACGAATTCCGGCTTTTTCAAACGAGTGCCTTTGGTCATTGTTTTCCGATCGAAGAATGAAATATCTCTTTTGTTTGTTTGAATTTCTGAGTTTTGTTGCTGATTGCTCACTCTATGAACATGGTTGAGAAGATGAGTAACTCAAAATCCCGTTGTATTTGTCTGCGGTTGAGTGTGGTACAAGCGTCTACGAATGAGAGCTTGATTGGATCAGGCCTATATATTTGTTTGATATGGTTTGGCTCAGATTGGCATCTGGTAGACTCTTGGTCCGGCATTTCGGTGTTGTTCTAAGAGTTCTATCGAGTCGGTGTGTTTTAATCCATAGTTACAAATGTTCAACTTTTCCAATTTTGCATTCATCAAGAACTAGGCTTTTTGAACTCTCTTATTCGCTCTCAAATGCGGCAAAAAACCAACCGTTACACTTGGAAGTGCTGTCTGACATTTTGTATTCCGAATAAATATGTTGGGCTATACGATGGATATTGCTGTGTAGGCGGTTCCAACTGTTGCCATTCGCACTTCAGTGTGTATTCCTTCGGGTATATGCATTGTATGCGAGCGGTAACTGATGGATCCAATGACATGGCTTTGTTCTCGCATAGTCCACATACGAATTCGGCTTGCAAGCGTGTTGACAGTAACTCTGAGTGCGACAAAAATAAAACTTGCTCTCGAGCAAATTTTGCCATACATATATATTTTATATGTAYATTTAATCCGAATTGTAAAGAAATTGTACAACGATGGCTAGACTGTCGCCATTCGTACAATTGGCACGCCAAATTGATGATTTGCATGTCAAGCTAGTTGAAAAAACATTGACTKCAGCTTCAAGCGTTGGCTCGCCACTCAAAATGCATTCATGCATTTGCTCAATTAAAATGTCTAGATTGATCTCTCATTTACCTCCGGAATGGGAAGATGATCTTAGCCCATGTAAAAACCCCAAATATTTCTCATGTAATGTTGTTAWAGGCAGTATTTGAATACCGTCATCACGTGAGTGGGAACTACCAACCAACCATTTGCCGAGAACGCCGCATTTTGGAGGACCTGGCAAATAATYCGGTTTAAATGGGGTTGGTGGTATCACCTGCTAATAATTTAGCAAAATCACTGCCGCATCAATATAAAGTATCTGCTTTGCATGAGATTAATRTTATACATTTGTACCTAAATCTTTGTAAATATTAGCAATAAGTATTGTCTAAACATAAAAAAGAAAAAACAGCAMAAAAAATCTCAGAGCCGGAAAAAATAAAACGACAAAACTAAAGCAAAATGAAATACAAAGAACATCAAACCCTAAATCTTAACTGTGTTATTATTATACAATAGTAGGGGTAGTACTCCTGCAGGAAAAATGCTCCAATTGTTAAGGAAACAAATATAGAAGATAGATCAGCGTTTAGAAAATATAATTTTGTTTGTTAGTCTATAGCCATTCGATTTTTAGTTAATCTACAACATTAGTGTGGTGGATATGAGGTGTTAGCTGTACGTCTGTCATCGTAGTATACGCAAAAATCCTTGAGAATGTGACAAAAGCGGTGCAAATTTAGTCAGTTTGTATGGCAGCCATATGCAATAGTGGTCTGATCAATTTCTTCGGAGRTTGTATCATTGTCGTGGGCAATAATCCGTCCGAAATATTGTGAAGATATCTCGCGAAATACAAAAGTTTTCCCATACAAGGWATGAAGCGGTCAGTTTGTATGGCCGCCGTATGATATAGGCGGTTCCGACAAATTAGCAGCTTCTTGCGGAGAAAATGATGTGTACAAAACTTCAAATGCTGATAATTCAAAAATATATTTTGTGATGACTTCGACGTCTCYTTCTAGGTTTTCTAGGTTTCATGGCAAACTTAATATTTACTGTTCAGGATTTGAGAGTATTATGTTTCCGGTCATGTAGTTTTTAGCAAAAAAAAAAAGGTTAGAATTTGGGCTCAGGTCGACATTGAATTACTCAGACCTTAAAAACTTTTCCACGTTGTAAATAAAAATATTTCTTACGTCTAGGATCCTGAAATAACTTTTAAGTAATTCGTGTTTGGAAACAGCAGAAACGAATGGAATAACTAAATACGWGTCGAATCCGACAAAAGTTGATTACAACTGCATCAGTGTCTCTATAGATGGAAACTTTAAATTCACCGCTCTTACGATATGTGTCAAGATTAAAAAGTCTTCTCTGCTTTGTCAAAGCTGAAGATCTCCTTCCGTTCTTCCCTTCTAAATCTAGGGTAGGCTATGAAGGTTTAACTAAATAATCAAGTSTATCCCCGTATTTAGGGCGCAGTGACGCACCATCTCATGTCTCAGAAAATCGAAATTTTTTTCTACATTAGCAATTTTATTCTAATATGTTTTTCTTCACAAGCTTCTTCCTCACATCCTTTAATTTCGATTTCGGGCATTTTCCATATTTAGCGGTACATAAACTTCCGGCCCAGATCGACAATGCGTAAATATTTTCACTGACTTTGTTAAGTATGTATTAGAGAACAGTTCTACAAAATTACGTGTTCTTAGCTTTATAATTAAAGGCAGGCAACCGGTAAATAAAATAACTGAATAACCGGTTATATGAGAGATATGTGACATATCTACATATTACTTTTTTTAGATATATCAAAGCGGAAGAAATTTTAATAGTCTCGAAAAATTAAAATTCACTTAAAAAACCGACCCGATTTTAGAACCATAGTTTCTTGGGAAAAAATTTTCAGAATGACCCGTATATTATTCCCCGCATACGCGATTCCTTCGTTTTTTTGGGCTCCCTGCAAATCAACCCGCTCTAGTATAAATAAATATAATTATGTGAAAAAAAATATTTTTTTATTATGTTGGGAAGTTTATTCAAAAGGGCATACCTCAATAGTGTGGCAGAGAGAAACGCCGCTTGTGAATTTGAGTGCCGACCTTAGTATTTCATGTATGGGTGTGTAGTTTCGTATACTTGTATCTCTGTTTTTTTACCTCACTTAAGCTAAAAAGCTCTTCCAAATTTTGGCCATTACTCAATTGTAAAAACACTTGGCTGTAAATCAAAAWTGGATTACTCACTTCCGAGCGGTACTCCTCACCAAAATGCTGCTGATAAGTACGAAAGGTAAATATTTTAGTCAATAGTTGTGAAAAATGTGAAATGGAAGGCAAAAGCTCGTTGTTCTCTTTATGTTTTGACTCKGTTTCTATATTTATACATATAAATAAATAGTCATGTGTGAATGTACATACTTCACATTTGCTCGAACAACACCGATTTTCACAATTACAAATTCTAGCACGCTTCAGTCAACTAATATTCTCTTTCTCTCTTTCGTCTCTCATTCACAAAACGAGCTTTTATTATATTTGTAAATGTATTTTCGCAAGTTTGATGCACTTTTTCTTATATTGTTGGTGATATAAAAGAATTGTAGRCACTTGAAGCCGCATACASGAACTAGCAATTGTAGCGAGAAGTCGCTGCCAATAATAAACGTACATTAACATAKTAATTAACTCATTCATTTGAACCACCTAGAGTCATCTTCATAAACCTTTCCATTCCACCAAGTGAAATGTCGCAACCCGTTGTACAAATGACAACCGAACAGCTGCAGTCACTGATCGAATCGGTGCGTTTGGCAGCCGTTGCAGGTGCCAGCGCTGYTGCACCCGCCACTGCCCACAGCAAAGGCAGTTTCACCAACTGTACTAGCCGTTTTGGTGGCCAGCGCGATCACGAAGCCGTTGAGGAGTTCATAACTTCCATTGTGACCTACAAAGAAATCGAATCAATCAGCGACGAGGATGCACTAAAGGGGCTGTCTTTATTGTTCTTCGGATTGGCGTCCACTTGGTGGCAGGGCGTGCGTAAAGAAGCGAAAACTTGGGGAGATGCCATTGCGTTGATTCGCGATCACTTCTCACCCACCAAACCTGCCTACCAGATTTACCTCGAAATCTTCGAAAATCAGCGTCGCGACAACGTGCCCATCGACACATTTGTTTGCCAGAAGCGTGCGCTGCTCGCGCAACTGCCAGAGGGGCGTCACGATGAGGAGACCGAATTGGATTTGGTTTATGGTTTGCTGAACATCAAGTACCGTAAGAATATACTGCGTCAGGACCTTAAATCATTCCGTGAATTGTTGGAAAAGGGGCGTATTATTGAACACAATAGTTTGGAATCGGAAGTKKGTCAGCCCCGTCTGATGCGGGGCATTAAGCGCGTCCATCAAGGCTCAGGATCCGAGATGCCACACCAGAGGAAGACGAGTAAATACAGATATCGAGCTAATATTGGAAATGCTAACACGGCGGCCCCACCGCCACAGCCGACCTCGTAAAATACTGCTCTCAAGGCAAAGTAACAAACTTTGCTGGATAAACTCTTATACATCTTATACTCTTATACATACATCACATACTACACTATTTCCTATAACACATTATATAATACGCCTAGATAATCTATTTTGGTAGTTTCTTTCCTAATTATAGGTCTCACTGCTCCTCTTAATTCTACATGACGTACGCGTAATTTACTGCTACTATTAATATTTGACCTTTATATTATTTATTAATCCTGGAATCTGAAATCAGTTAAGTTGGCCAATGGAGTCCAAGTATTTTGGATTTTGTAWACATAAGTGTTCTGCTACTCCAAACCGTGTTGCATCTCTTCCACCTAATGTCATAAAATATGTTACTAAGAGGTGTCTTTTAAGAATGTTTTTCAAWTAATGAGACAAGTAGAGCCTAAGTTCCAATGCTGATTATGTCTGCTTTCAGTGTAAAGAGGTCTTGTATATCATCAGCTCTAAGCGAGTCGACATCAATCTAAAAAGCTGATTGATGTAAATATAGTATATCTCGTATTTGCCTGTGTTTCCAACATTCTACTCAAAAGAAACTTTACGTTACTTACCATCCATTGAACAAGTATTTTCACACTTCTCTTAAATACATACACCCGTTTTTTTTTTTTTTTTTAGTTTTTATTTGCTTTGTTTTGTTTGTATGGATTTTGTAGTTAGTTAGAAGGAGATAGGTTTTACAGTGTCATTCGCTCGTTGAAGTTCCTCATGCGAATTCCCACAGTACTCGATACCAGAAGATCAGGCGCTGAAAACGCCCTAAGCCGACGATCTCTCTGACCACTAGACGATACCGCCGAAATGTGGGCCAGATGCTCCAGAGTATTGTTTGGCGCGCTTTCGGTGACGGTACTAATTGTGTAGAATCGCCGCTAGCACCTTTTGAGGTAGTGCATCGAATAGTGTGGGAATAGTACATGTGGAACTAAACAAGCTGGGGGTCCATGGCAGTCACAACATTTCTGGAGATACACATGCGAACATTGTGACGAATCAGAGACCAAGGAAAGACGTTGTTGCGGTAGTTGACGTGCCATACACCTGACGCAGTGCAGGGCTGCTGAGCGGYAGTTTGGCGTGTCAACGTCTGTATGAATGGCGAAAGCCTAGCCATCGTTGTACTTATCTGAAGGAAGGCGCACCTGCAAGTGCCTAACTAAGTGTGTCGCATATCAAATTGCTGTCCAAACTTTTTCGCTCTATACCCTTAACAYATAATGTAATATCACAACGGTATTGACGAGCACCGTTGCAGCTCTCGAGTATACTACGTATACCATAATTATGCATGTACGTCTGATGTGAGATGCACATGTCAAGGCGAATACAAACAAGATGGCAGCAGCAGAACGAACTTCTTCTGCCGAACCYTGAAGCTCATGAATTAGCTTTCATTTCCAACTACCGCTGCCACCTTTTATGAAAAGGTCTTGTCACACACGTATTTATACAAGAGAGGCCATGTAAACGCCAATCCCACTGCAATATCAGCAGTATGCGTTTAACGGTAAAAGAGCGTAAAATTGTAGACAGCAATATGCAACGTTAGTGATCGCTAGACTCAGTTGCGAACACCTGCTACCCGAAGGATACCAAAACGAGACTTCGCAGGTATCTGCAGAGATACAGGCCTMGACTACTGAATTCAGCGAAGTGTGAGTCGCAAGAGCATGTAGCCAATGAAATTTGTCACTGTTCTCAAGAGAATTATTTCTTACTTTTTCCGATTACAGCATACAAAACAACAACTTTTCCTTATCATAGAAAACTTCGTCACCTCAGATACATGCCGAGCCGCTGCGACCTTAACAACGATTGCAATTGCTTGRCACGCAGCTGAGTTGACGCCAAAAAACGATATAAAGTGAAAGCTGCAATTTTGTTTGCCGAATGGAAGAAGGTTGTGCAGTAAAAAATACTCACTCAGACAAATGACGAACTGTGGCCGATGCTCACGATGACTCATTTGTAGTGAACCTCTGARTATCGTTCTCCGAATTCAAGTATCCAGAAGTTCGTAATTATCGTAGGTCAATGCTGGCGYTCGTCGGCCAATTTGAGCCGTGAAGGTAAGGCGTTTAAGCGCTTTTGCGTTAGGTTGATTGATGATGGGTTCAAAATGTAACCAAATTCCTCTCTTTTGAATCTCACATAGTTTTACGGAMARAKTAAATGGCGCATCAACTGCTGCGTTGAATACTTTGCCCTCCGAATAAATATCTCCATTCAATTCGAGAGAATTGGTAAACACTTTGTGTGACGACGATGTGGATGTGGATGAGGGATGAGTGTTGAGTGTTGCAAGTGTGTTAGTTACAAATTCATTMAAAATTACTTATATACTATATAATATGTGCTGTGTGGTCTTACGGCTTGACTAAGAGCTGCTTATTGGTTCTCGTTCTCGTTCGCTTCACTGGAACTGCTTCTGACTTCACCAGTTTTGCCGTCGCTTTCGTTTTTACGTTTTCGGCATTCGTCGTAAGTATGTCCACGGAAGTTACAGTGGCTGCAGCGTTTGTTTCGTTTAGTGGCATGCAACAATTGCACGGTGTCGTACTCCAAGTTATTGTGTTCAATGATACGACCCTTCTCCAATAACTCCCGGAATGTCTTGATGTCCAGTCGTTGTATATGACGACGATATTTGATGTTCAATAAGCCGTAAACCAAATCCAATTCGGTCTCCTCGTCGTGACGATTCTCCGGTAGCYGTGCAAGCAGCGCACGCTTCTGACAGACAAAGGTGTCGATAGGAGTGCGTTCGTCCTGCTTTCTGATAAAAATGTCCATGTAAATTTGGTAGGCTGGTTTGGTGGGTGAGAARTGTTGGCGGATCAGTGTGATAGCATCGGACCACGTTTTGGCTTCTTTACGTACACCTTGCCACCATGTGGAGGCCATACCGTGCAGCAGCAGTGATAGTCCTTTGAGTGCATCTTCATCACTGATCGACTGAAGTTCTTTGTAGGTCACAATCGCGGTGATGAACTCTTCGACAGCCTCGTGATCGCGTTGTCCGCGGAAGTGGCTGTTGCAGTTGCTTAACGAGCCCTTGGTGGTGGCCACGGTGGATACGGTTTTTGCTGCATCGATAAGTGAATTTAATTGTTCGATAGATATTTGTATGACTGTATGYCCATTATTGTTTTCCATGMTAAATTTCGCTTATTTCTTTAAATTTTTCACTATTACAATTTATGATATGCGGTCGATATGGCAGATTGGCGAGGACAAAGCCAAGGTATGTTGGCGAATGTCTTAAAGCATCCAAGCGCTTGGTCGTATGCGACTGAGGTTTTCTTCACACTTCAGGGGTTTTTATAGTTGGGCGGTAAAGCCAAAGTGTCGATGAAACTAGTAAAACAATTTGCGTGTAAACATTTGGTAATTCAGTATTAATACAGTATTACCCAATTTTTGAGGACGGTGTCTTAAGCGAATGGGTTTGCAGATATTTCTTGCTTGGGCAAAGAGAACCTCATATACAACGTTGACAATTTCGTTTTCGGTCTTTTTTATATTCAATTCCGCACACGACCGCTTCGTAGATAACCAATTGGGCGTGTGACCCGCCTACATCTATGTATGCGTTATTAATCGAGCCGAGCGCGTTCCGATCAACATGCGATAGTTTATAATACTCATATTTTAAGATATTCGAATCGAGCAATTCAAGAATTTTTTTAATATATTGAAAAAGTCTT